AGTGCAATATCAATTCCAGGGCTTTTTGTGTAATTAAACATAAACCTTCAATACAAAATCAGCCCCTTTTACCACATTTCACACAACAACAACAAAATCAACAAAGCAACAATTTCTAATTTTCAAGTTGTAGTCAGACACATGTGCCTCACTTCTACTTCTCCTTCAGCCAGTCACTGAGACAAACGAGCTTCTCTACATTCTCAGAGCTCAAGGCTGCCCTCTTTGTTTGGACTATGTTACCTGCAAGTGAAAAAAGTCTCTCACAAGGGACAGAAGTGGCAGGGGCAGCCAGATATTTGCGAGCCAGGACAGACAGCTGTTGATGGGCTCGTTCAGAAAAACTGAACATTGTGTCAGGTAAATTATCAGTTAATATTCATCACATAGTTGTGGTTTGTAAACAAATATTTTTCTTTTCTATTGCTCAATTGTCTAAGTGTATAATTGAATATTATTATGTATAAATGTTATGTGGTGTTATTATTACAGTTAATTACAGTTTGATCATTTCACCATGAAGACGACTGTTGTTTAAGAATGACGAACATATTGCAACTGTCTTCACCAGACAAGACCTGGTGTGACATTACATCTCTCTGTTTTTTACGGGTGTTAGATAGCGTGTCACCACCAATAAATAAGCTCTTTCCACCGATGGCTGAGGTGTGGACAGGGGATTGGAACTAAGTTTAAGTCAGTATGGTGGTATTCTGTGTTTGCTGCGGTGCTGACAAAACATCAGAGAGAAACACCACCACCCTGTGTGTTAGTCAGAGAAAGTTGCATATGGGTATCCAGATGATGCTAATCACCAAAAGGTGAATAATGAATTTTCAAAATATGATATCCTTTTATTAGTTTATGGGCTGTCCAAATCGATTTAAAAAAATGTATCTATATTAATTTACATACCGGAAGAACAAATCCAGATAAATGCTGTAAAAGTATTTTAATATTCGAATTCAAATGAATCTATTGTTTATTATCAGCATTAGTGACATTGAAGTTAAACTAATTTATTATTATTTTCACTGTCAGAATAATAAATGGCCATAACAAGCATTATGTGAGGAAAATAATTCCTTATTGTTTCAAGGAAGAAGTTTTTTTTACATACTAAGGCCATTTTGTGCCACAATTATAGAACCTAGGGGACACAAGTGAAAAATAAGATGAAGCACTCCCCTCAATGTCAACACTCTTTTTCTTTGTTATTGTCTTTTGATTAAATAAACTCAGGCAACAGAGGCCAAAAGTTTAACACAGTGCAGTATCAATTCCAGGGCTTTTTGTGTTTACATTAAACATTAAACCTTCACTAAAATGTTACCTGCAAGTGAAAAAGTCTTCACAAGGGACAGAAGTGGCAGGGGCAGCCAGATATTTTGCGAGCCAGGACAGACAGCTGGTTGGATGGGCTCACTGCATTGAGTTGTCCACACTGCAGCGGGGGCATTCCTCCATGCTG